TTCAGCCCTGTTTCAAAAGTGCTGATTCTGTGTCTGTTACTTTAGATGAAAATAAGGAGCCACTCCCAACGCCCCTGTTGCCCCTTTCACACCAACGCGGTTCCAGGGCCGGTTCAGAGCTAGAGCCTGATAAGCACCGGTTTTCCCTTTTCACACCGCAGCGGAGCCGGCTCTTTTCCCTGAAAACCGGTTCTTACCAAGCTCCAAAAGATTGTCGGTCTAGAAGCAAGAACCGCATACGTCACGCTTACGTCGGAGGCGGGGGCAGGGGCGGGATCAACATGAGCAACAGTTTATGGCGAGTACGGCAAATAAAAGTTGTAACAAGCAGTAGCGCTGAGCAAAGTGACTAGAACGCAACCACACACTTTATAAAGTCAGGCAACACTAACCAGGCTTAGTGTGATTCTGTTTATTTGTACCTTACTTTGACCATCCGTTCACTGTCATTGATCATTGTGGAGAGCAGGCAGCCGTTTTGTTTTGTATTATAGCAGCTATCAGATGGAATCAATACATGGGCTGCACAGGTTGTCATGTCCGACTATCACAAGTAGAATCATAATGAAAAATACGCCGGTAAAATGTGCCTGTAGAAAACGGCTTATGCTACAATAGAATAGCAACAAGTTGTCAAGACAGTCAGTTTAGCTTCGGTTGCTATGCTAACATCACCCATTTTATACCAAAGAAACTTTCATAACAGCGTTGTGATGCCAAACAGCGGGCAGCACTGCAGCGGTCGGTAAATGCCGCTGAAACACATTAATAAACTAGAGAATGCAATTCCTGAAGAAATTGCTAGTGGGAATGCTTTATGCTGAAAAGCTGACGCTAAACTGCTATGCTTGAATGTGTGATGAGAGAAGAAAAGAAAGTAAAAAGGCTTGGAAAAGCAGCAGAATATTTGAACTGCAAACTTTTGAACTAACTTGATGGCAAATGATCTGTCGCCATGCCAACAGCATTTGATGACATCCCATAATACGCTTAGATGCGTTGATGGCTGCATCGTTACCAAACCTGTGAAGTTTTGGGCCGTTTGAGGTGTTTCATGGCGAGCATTGTGTTGCCATGGCAACGGCATTTGAAGAAATCTCAAAACTGTCCCGTAGATGTCTTGACGGCTGTACTGTTAGCACACATGTGAAGTTTGAGCACTTTTTGAACATTTTATAGGAGTTATAGCGACATCGTCTTTTATGGCGAGGGATGGAAAGGGATGGTTTCCATGGAAACGGCATATGATGAAAATGTTTAAAGATGTGCAATACTTAAAACGTTTATAAAGATCCTCTGAGTGTGTGTCATTAGTTAGCTGATAAAATGTTAGGGATAAATACCTTGACATATTGACTACAAGAGCTTGAATCAAACAAGCAACCTTGTATTTGAAAGATTAACTGACATAGCAACAGTCGCACGTGGTATATAAGTGGTGTGGCTGAGTACTTTAAAGGGTTCATGAATAGAGGGGACTTGAATGTGAAATAAGAACAAGAAAATAAAAGTCTAAATGCATGAAAAAGCAGCAGAATATTTGAACTGAAAACTTTAGAACTAAAAGCATACGTCACCAATAATGTCTAAAATGTGTGGAACATGTTGAAGTCAGTATGAAGTCTCCATCAGATGGAAAATAATAGGCTGAGACAGTCTGTTAAACTCCAGTGACCACGTCATTAGTCTGCTGCTCTAATTATGTCAATTGGAGTTATGACATCATCGTGTTCCATGACACAGGTTTTTATATTTGAGCTAACAACGTGTCCAGAGTTCAAAGGTTTCCATGGTGATTAGTGAGAGGAAAGCATTTTCATTGTTCTGAATGAGAGATAAACCCGTTACATATGAACGTTTTGTTGAAGAACCGTAACAGATATCGGTGAAATTTCAAAGCGTGAAGCATGTCAAGGAACTTGAGCATCTGAAGTGTACTTTGTGTGTACTTTCGGGTTAATAATGTGGCCTTTTTGGCAGATTAACTAAAGGTGTGCGGCTGCTGTGGTGGGGAAAGGTGAGGCTGAATTTACAATGGAGTTTAATGGAGACCTGTTGAACGTTTTTGACACTTCATGCCCTCAAGAGGCATTTTGTTTAATTATTTTGCTTAATTTGTTTTTATCTTTCAAGCTACGAGATGTTTTTCTACGTTTGTCATGAAAAATTATGTCTCAGGAATGTAGGGTTTGGGAATTATGGCAGGTTTAAAAGAAAATATGAAGGCAAAATTAAATCTGTCCTCCACTCTAGCTGTGACATCACGCACTCTAAAATATGAAGAAGGCCTCTTTACCAAGGTCTGAACAATGTTTAATATCTGTAAAAGTAAGAATCAGATTTAAAAGTTGTGTTACACGAATAATGTCAGAAAGATGTGTGACATTTTAAAGTTGGAATGAGGTTTCTGAGTGAAAGTAGGAAGGAGCAGTTAGCAGTTGAAGAAGGAGCAGTTAGCAGTTGAAGTTGCATGAAGATTGTTGAAGTCTGAAGAGTTCTCCATTGACTTCCATGTTAAAAATGGGATGTATTATGGGATGTATCTCTGGAATTATGAAAATTATGAATGATAAAAGTAATAGCCATTGATTCCCGACAGAGCTGAACGTTTTGATGTTCGAACGGAGTTTCTGCGATGTTCAATGTGGGAGAAGAAGCAGCGCAAAATAACCCGGCGGAATAATAAAGAATTTCGTGCGTAGCATAACAGATAGTTGGAATGCTGTGTCAGCATTCCCACTAAACAATGAACCACGGTACTCTTAATTTAATCAGGCTTTGTATGATTAAAAGCAACATGATCATCGACCCGACGCAGTCCCCCATTGTTGTTGTTGTGAGCGTGACTGAGCGCCGTTGGGAAGAAATTCAGCGACGTAAACGGTGACGTCATGATGCAGCCGCGGCAGCACCAGTCGGGCTCTGGGCGGTGTGAACAAAACGGGGGCTGAAAAGAAAAACCGGTTCCTAACCAGAAGAACGCAAGCACGGAGCTAGAACGGGAACCGCATTGGAGTGAAAGGGGCATCTGAGAGATATTTGGTTAAAAAAAAACGCAATGGTGCTCTAGGAGGATATTCAGGTGATAAGGTGGGCAGGTGTTACCTTGGTTGGTTATTGGCTAATGGTTACACAAGCCAAAATCATTATGACATCATAAAGTGGCCAAAATCTGATCAGCTCACTTTCAGACAGGTTTTTATATGGATCAGGACAAAAAGGGAGGGGGTCTTTTTTCCTGAAACTTTCAGAATCTCTTTACACAGAGGGGACACGTATGTATGTATAAAAGACGTGAAAAAGTGGATTTTGCATAATAGGTGACCTTTAAAAGTGTATTTTTAACAAAGCTAAGACCTATTCCTGCAAGCATGGTTTTTGGTTTTGTGTTTAGTCAGATCAGATCCACATGAAATTATCTTTATACATCCATGGCTCGTGTAAATTGTTGTAATTTAAGTCCGACTCTAGGAGGGTATTGGGTCTCACCTGCTTGTCGCACAGGTCTCCCAGGTGGAAGGCGACCCCAGGTAGCTCGTAGCTCTGACGGATATCAAACACAGAAACAGAGTAGCCTCGATCCAACAGCTTCTCTACCAGGTGTCTGCCCAGGAAACCCGAGCCCCCGATGACTGCACACCGCTTGTTACTCTGCATGACACACAGGTAGCGATAAATGAGACATGTCAGGCCAACAAAAAGCACTATCACCATAAAAAGTGTAAGCAAATGTGCACCGTGAAAAGAAAAACGTTTGAACTCACCGGTCGAACACGAGTTGTCATACTGAGTGAAAAGTGGAGCGAAAGTATAACGTTGTCCTACAGGTGGAATACTAGGTAACGAAACGGTGCTCCTAATATTATAACACACAGGGCATAAATGTGACACTTTTAACATTGAAGCATGCAAAGGTACTGTTTACCTGCAGTTTCTTACAACTCAACTCGCGGATCAACCATCTAAATGAGCTGAGTGATAAGTGCTCTGTGATTGGTCGAGCCAAAGGTCGGCACAAAGGTGACGTTTGATTATAACCAATGGTCTACAACATACGTCAAAGAACGCCACAATTTAAACCAACCATTGACCACAGACTCGTTCTATATCCGCCTTCTGGCTCAAAGACCCCGCCCCCCTTGTGACCACCAAGTGAGGGAGTGTTCAAAATTGTCCTTCAAAAACGTTCAATAATAATAAAAATTATTGAGTACGTTTTTCTCTACTACTGGTTAATAGTTTGAGTGTTAGTACTTCGTTTTGACTGTTTTTCTATGTACATTAATAATAAAATACAAGCATAAAGGAAAACCCATAGATACAGATTTAACTAGTGTCCATATACTTTGCAGAATATCATTTGTTGTCAGATGTATCCTTTACTAACAATAGTCCAAATAAAACATATACAGCTTCGAAAAACGTGTAATATGAGGAAAATACACTAAACTGAGCAAATGATAATTCAAAAAGTAGGCTAAAATAAACAGATATAAAAAGGAAACAACTTTGATATAAAACTAGTGAGCACATAGTTATTGAGGTAGTAGGTATACATTATTAAATATAGAAATATATCATTTATTTTGTTATTAATAGCCTACTCTATAATGTAATTAGTCTCTTTATATCTATAATTTTCTTTGTATGGGTAGAGCTCTGACATGAGGTCTGCTGACACAGAGGGTGAATTTATAGGCTATTATACAAAATGTAATGTGCTTTGTTTGCATGTTAATATAACACAGATACTTTCCAAATGTCCATATGCAGTTTCATCGTTTATGTTTCTATGGAAACTCCAGGAAGTCAACAGCTCTGAATTTTCTGATCGTGTCTTGCACCCCGTGATCTTCAGCAGCCAATCATATTTTCGCCCGACTGATGCGTTTGATTTTCACCCCCATTCGTGCCTTTTCGGTATCCTGCTTCAGTTTCCCAGTGGTCATGAAGCCAATCTCCTCTCTGCTGGCACAAAGGGTGCACAAATTAAACGCATTGGCTCCATGACGACAGCTCCTGAACAGCGGAACCTGTGCGTGTTGTTCTTATTATACATCCATGGTATTTTCTGCACATTTTAACAGCCGTTCCTGCGAAATAAATAGAACATTTTGAGGAATAAGACACTACCTCTCATTCGGAGGGATTTAACGTGTAATGCGAGCAACTGATGTCAAGTACTGCTAACCTGTTTTTATCATCACCTCCTCCCTAAATGATAGGGAGGCTTCATAGCCAAGATAAAAACATAGTTCGACTAAGATCTGCATTTTCCTTTTTGACAAACAAATACATTGCAGCTGATGGTGAGTAAAACATCCTCATTATAACCACAATCTTTGTTATTGTGTTGCATTTGACTCATTAGTGATGGATATCTATGATTTATTTGTGTGTATGTGGAAATGCCCATTTTCACCCAGGAGCCTCTCTGATTCTGTTGTTATCATAGGCTCTTGTGTCTGCAATTATTACAATTATTCTGCTTCTTTCTCCCCTCCTGTGTCCCCATCAGGCGACCATTGCCAAGAGACCATCCCTGCAGGGTCCTGTGCCCCCTCCTCGCAAGAAGACCACCCCCAAACCAGAGCTGACAGAGGAGCAGAAGCAGGAGATCAGAGAGGCCTTTGAGCTGTTCGATACCGATGGATGCGGATACATTGATGTCAAGGAGCTCAAGGTAAAAGAGCCCTAACGCTGATAACAGTCACACAACAGGTGGAAGAAGACAGTTTTATATGGGCTTCACTCTCACACCTCTCTCAATGTGACAGGTTGCAATGAGAGCTCTGGGGTTTGAACCAAAGAAAGAGGAGATCAAGAAGATGATTGGTGACGTGGATAAGGACGGCACAGGGAAAATCTCCTTCGCTGACTTCCTCTTTGTCATGACACAGAAAATGGTACTTATCTATATCATGAAATATACCAGATATGCATTCACTTTGTTTTCTCTTGTTTGAAATTGAGTTATTGGTTTGTAGTTTGTAATTGTAGATTCTTAACCTGTTAGTCAGTAGAGCCCCAGTCTTTATTCCACCCCTATCAGCCACTTTTTGACTATACTTGTATTGTATTTATTTTGTCTGTTCTCCGACCACTACAGTACACACCCTTGCAGAAATGCAGTTTGAACTAAACTTGCTCTCCTTCTTCTCTGATTTAAGGCTGAGAAGGACTCCAAAGAGGAGATCCTGAAAGCCTTCCGTCTGTTTGATGACGACGAGACGGGCAGGATCTCGTTCAAGAATCTGAAGAGAGTAGCCAAAGAGCTGGGAGAGAACCTCACAGATGAAGAGCTGCAGGTAAAGACAATCATGTAGAAAAAAACAAAATTACATTCATATTAGCCCTCAACTCCACTCTCAAAGGTCATGACTGCAGTTTGGCATTATGTAAACACAACATTTGCTTCGAATGCTACCAAAATAGCTTGTTTTAAATTCCTCTGGTCTCCTTTTAATCATTCTTCTCTTATTGTGTGTGTCTGAAGGAAATGATAGAGGAAGCAGACAGGGATGGAGATGGAGAAGTGAACCAGCAGGAGTTCCTGCGCATCATGAAGAAAACCTGTCTGTACTGAAGGTAGAGCACCACATTAGGGACCAGCGGTGTTTTCACATTCAATGCTGCTCATATAACATTTCCATTCTCCTATTATGTCGTGCCATACATTTCCTCTTACACTTATACGGAGACTATCAAAAGGATTAGCTGTCATCAACTGCACTGAAAGGAGGTTGTTAAAGACGGGTGGTTTACATGATAATCTACAGTGTATTTGTTGAAACAGTAAGAGAATACTCTCTCTCTGCATTTTATGAGAAATACAGTGATTATATAAACGATAATATGTAGGTATTTATTGTCAAGAACTTCTCAGTGCCTACGTCAACACAGTGACAAACACAGTACATTCCTATACTTTAATTGAATATACAGCGTGTGCATTACGTTTCATCCATCTGTATATGTTTGGTTTACTCTCTTAATGCCACCGTTTCATGTTTTGTTACCACTGATGATTGGGGAGTGCTCTCACCTCAGTACTTCCTGTGGATTTGTGCCTGTGCCTCCTAAAATGGGGAGTATTCCAATATCTTTCAAATATGATTGTGTATGTATTTTTCTTGTATAATTAAGTATTTATCCCACTGTTATGTCAAACTACTCTAATATATATATATACAAATAATCTGTATTCTTGAATGTTTTGTAAGATTCATAGTGAATTTATTGAGTAGATATACAGCATAGAAGTGTTTAAGGTACAGAATAAATATCTTGAAGCAGTTTATCCTGTCATTTATTTCTCATTGTTCCTCTACCTATCAGTGTTGGAACAGCCTCTTATTTTTCAACTCACATTATTTATTCTACTGCTGTTACTAAACAGATGCTGCTACCTCACTGCAGCATATTGACGCAACTATCCAACCTTACTATTTCAAACAGTAAATACAAAACGTGATGCAATGAAAAAGCTCCTGTGCTTAACTGGAAGGTACGGTAAGATGTTTATTATAATTCATTTTGGTTGTTGACTTTGAGCACAGATGAGCATACATCCAGAATTCAGAGCGCAGGGGCTACTAGACAGCTACAAAGAGGACCTCAGTCAGAGCAGTGCTCAGGAAGAGGTCCACCTGTGCAAAGGGAATACATAAAGTAGATGCCGTTCAATTCTATGTCAGGGTTACATGTGGAGTTTTCAAAACAGGTGAGCCAGCAGGCAGGCTGTCTGCAGAGTAGAGATGAATTAAGGTCACACACGTCAATCACAGCACTTTTAAAGGGGGCTCCAGGTCTTGTTTTACTATGCACGGTACACAAAAATGATCCTTAATTTAGCCGGAATAATTCACTTGTATTGTCATGGATAGTAATTATACATATCTGTAAATACTATGAAGTACAAATGCCAAAGCTACAATAAGCCCTTAGCAGTTTGAATCTTTTTTTGTCACTATGTTTTTAGTGCAATTTCCTTTATTTTGTCACTCCACTGGAGCTCAAACACAGCTGGAGTTTTTTGAGCACTACAAAGACTGTACATTTTAAGATACCATCCGATGTGTTCAAGAGAGACTGGCTTTGGTAAAACTCAAGAAGTGATATTTACACAGATCAATAGATTTTAAACCTGAGTGATGGCTGCAGCTGAATCATAAAACAAATAAAGCATGTAATATGCCAACCACTTTTCTTGACCTTGATGAAAAACACCATGAGGTCAAGGAAAGATGTGAAAGGAGCTTATATTGAAGCACCTTTTCTTAGCATTTAGAGGCAAGGCAAGGTAAGGTAAGTTTATTTATATAGCACCTTTCAACACAAGGCAATTCAAAGTGCTTTACAAAAATGAAAGACATTAAGAAAATGGCATTTAAAAACAGTCAGCAAAGATAATAAAATAAACATTAAAAGAAAAAAATACATGAATAAAAGTTACAGTGCAGTTTAATATATGAATAATTCAATTAATGGCAGCGGCAAAAAGAAAAGTCTTCAGCCTGGATTTAAAAGTAGTAAGAGTTGCAGCGGACCTGCAGGTTTCTGGTAGTTTGTTCCAGATATTTGGAGCATAATAACTGAAAGCTGCTTCTCCATTTAGAGAAATTGATTGGCTTTTATCTTGGCTCATTTCACTCAGTAAGGAACCTCTCTATTCTTAAAGACTATTCGACCGCAACCTATATCCAAAGGAGAAAGAGTCGTCCTTTCCAGGTGATGTTCAATCAAAATGAGATGTGACCTCTTCTGTAGCAGACAAACTGGAGTACAAGTCATTTTATAGACCAAATATGAATTGAATAAATATAAATCAATGTTTTACAAACCAATAAGCAATGCCTGGTCAGCAGCTCAGAAGATCAGACAGTGGGTCACTGGCATACTTTCTCTTGATCTCAGAACAACGGCTTTGATTGTCCAGAGGAGCTGCTGAAATGGTAATAAGGGTGATCTTTTATCTCAAAGGGCATCTTATAAGGATCACAGATTTTGAGAAAGGGCGTGCAGTTCAAAGTAAATCAGTGGTGACCTACCTGGAGGTTGTCACACAAGACAAGGCTGTGTGTGAGGAGCAGGAATCGAGCCTGTCTGAGGAGAGATGGGGAGCGCGGGATGACCAGGAGTAAAGGAACGCTGAGTATGGTGTTCAAGGTGCAGCTCACACACATGCTGACCGTCTTAACCAGGTGGTAGATGGTGGAATGAATCTGTGTCGGTGCCTTTAGTAAGGTCACATTGCAGTGGAAATCCATGAAATACAGGCCCCTCTGATCTGCCTTCCAGATAGTCCAAAAAGAAAACACAAATCGCTGGAGCTTGAAAAGCCACTTGTACCTTTGGGAAAAGGATATGTTAATAGTCACCTCAGATCCAAAGATGCTCTCCTCTCTAGAGTATTATTAACCCAACATGGTGCAGCAGACCCATGTCAGAAGTCAATATCATTCTGATGGCTGATTGAGATTACTTCTTTATGTCATGTGCCGGGCTGTCCATTTACTCAGCTTCCCCATGTCAGCGTGTTAGACCCCAGGCCTAAAACCTCTTCCCTGTGGACAGTGATGTGTCAACAGCTAGGGTTTCTTATCGGGATAACAGTTGCAGGAGTGGTCCCTTTAAGATATGTTATTTAGGAAGTAAATTGACTACTACGTGCTAGTAATGAACACTATAAAACCAGGGATCTACACATAGGTATTTCAATAATGTATGTTTGTAAAAGGAACTTCTAAAAACTATTACATGCTGATTAATTATAAGAACTCAAATTAAATGTCGTAAAGATGTCAATTGGCCATTTCATGAACAGTAACACATTTCAACTTTATTGATAACATTCGTAAACAGAAAGAACTAGTCAATTATTTAAAAAATGCAATAAAAATAGATTTTACCGTCCTGTAGAAACCCAATTATTTAAGAAACTGATCTCCAGTTTATATCAGTCATAACAGGAGGTATACCTTCCAATGTGATGAATAGAAGATTTCATGAAAATGGAGATAGAAAAAAACACAAAAACACAATATAAATAGTCAGAGCTGCACACTCGGTACCAGTTGACTGAGGTATTTCATCTTCCTGTTGTTGTGAGGCTCAGTCTGTAGATGACAGTACAACGAGCAGCGAGGTCTTAGCTCTGACTGAGTTTAGTCGAAGCAAAGTCAGCACTAAGTTTGCGCATCACTTCGCCATGGCTTTGTCCCATTAACTCCTGTCGCACGGTCCCAAAGTTCTCTTTGACGAAGTTGGCAAAAGGTGTGGGAGCACGCTGCTTGGCCGACGTCAGTAAGACGAGCTGTCCCGTGCAGAGGGCACACGCAAACTTCTGAGTGTCCAGAGACTTGGAGTGACGTCCGATCCTGTGAAGAATCATCATAAAATAAAATAAGAACAGCTGAAAATGCAAGGTGAAAAAAAGAAAAGAACGTCATGAGTTTAATGATTTCAATCAGTCTGAAAATAGGTTGCACGTACGTATTCTTGCAGCGGGTGCACTGGTACTGGAACTTGTACTTGATGTCATAACTGTGACAGCGAGTGACCATGGGCAGCTCAGGGTGGGCCACTGTGGACTTGCGAGCATACAGCTTCCAGAAGTTTCCATGCCCGTCCCTCACACCGTTAATCAGCCAGGTTGCAGCGTGACACATCTCATGGATCAGCGTGTCCCTGAGGCGATCTAGACGGGTGGAAAGTGATAATGTGGTCGGGAGATTTGATCAAACGAACATAAATGAAAATGATACTGTGCATGGAAGATGTTTTCACGTATTTACATTAAGACAAAGACACAATTGATTACTTTAAACTGTTTTACTAAAGCCTTACCTGCAGAATCACAGACTTTTTCGGACAGTTCAATGCGGGCGTAGCGGTTCCCTCCACCTCGCTGCTGCCCTGTGATGCAGTAACCGGCAGTTTTACGCAACTTCTTATTCCAAATCACTGACATATTGACGGGGAGCTAGAAGTCAAGCCAGACAAGTAAAGACAATATCAACCACATGTTAAAGAAGCAACCTAAACAATGTTAAATAGTATGCAACAACAATGACATTCTTAATCACCTTAGTGTCAAATACACTGGAATTGTACAGCAGGTAAAGTCTACTGGTGAGTTCTTCCTTGTTCTGCTTAAAATTGCGGCCATAGCTGGAGCCAGGGTTTGATAAGGTCTGTAGGAAGCACCCTGGGGTCCTACACAGTGCTACCCTAGAAGAAGAAAGGACAGGGTTAACTAAAGACAAATTAAGGGAGTGACAATCAAGATACAAACTGGTCAACAGACGTACCTGCTGGTGGGTCCATGTCTAGGCTCAGTCTGACTGACCGTGGGCTTCAAGATGGCGGGTTTTCCTGGTGTCTTTGTCTGCAGAGGTGTTTCCCTTAATGGTTTGGAGACTGGTGTTGAGAATCCCTTTACAGAAGGGGCTGGCACAGGAGGTTCTTTGTCGTTTCCTACATTTAAGAACAAAACAATTGATATCAGCCTCAAAACTACAATCAAAACAAGAGCTAGAGACTGTTCAGATGCAACAATCTGAATAAAACCTGTACCATTAGTGCTTCTTGGTGAGAAGGGCGTGCCAGGGAACTTGTTTTTCTTTTTCAGTCTCTCCAGTAGGGATATGAACTCCTCCTCAGAACTGGACGAATTATCCATCTTGGGAGGGGCTGAGAGAGTGCGTTTCGGAGAGGCCAGTGATGTTTGAGTTTTGTGGGGAAGAAGAAAAAAAGGAGAATGGATGGGAGGGGAACGTAGGAATGGGGAACCGTCGTCTTCATCACACCGCAGAGATTTTTTCTGGTCAGCCTTTGGTGTGGGCTTAGGTTTTGAGTGACGATTCTTCCAAGTGCTCTTGACCACAATATTTTCCTCATCATCATCATCACTGTCACTCACAAAGACTGGGGAGGCCCACTGAGACAGCGGCCTCCTCAGTGGGTGGAAGACTGCTGGAGTATAGCTCTTCTTAGGCACTGCAAAACAGAGGGAAAAAACATCACATTTTGCATTGCTTTTCTTTCAAATATATAACAGTCAGTTGTGAGAAGTTCATTCAAAGTTACCTTTAACAGATGATTTGGGGTGAATAAAGTCATCATCTGATGAGAGGTTATCCACTATGAAGTTTTTCAGGCTTAAGAAGAAACAAAAAGTAAAATAGATTTTTCAAAAAAAGTTTACAGACACCGACAAAGCATTTAAGAGAAAACAATTAATTATTAAGAAAAAATACATTAAACACTCACCTATCTTCACTCCCACTCTCTGCAATTTTCTTTGGCTTGGCTTTTGGGGTTTTCACTCTTTGCAGAACTTCATTATCCAACATTGGGATAAAGGAGAGGAAAATTAAACAGACAATATAATAATGTAACAAACAAATATGGTATAACACTGATGTTAGAATGTGTTTCACTTATTGTCAAGGGTTACAGAAGCAGACAAGACCACTTACATGTTTCAAAACCGCCGTCATCGTCTGAGCTCACTACAAGGACATTTGAACTAAGAACAACAAAAATGGTTTAGAACCTGAAACTAAAATGATCAAAACTTTGATGAGACATATGAGATTGAAATAAGAAACAAGAAACAACACAGTGCTGTTGTTTCATGAAACGTTGACAGCGCAAGTATTTCCATACCTGTCTTTCTTTACAGCACTACATACTTTTAGCGAGGAAGGTTTTGCTTTTGGCGTAGCTCTTCCCACAAGAACTAAGGCAAAAAAGGTCAAATAAACGTATATTTGTATTTGCAAACAGAATCATACAAATTATCGATATGCAAATGTGTACAGTTAAACCCACTCACATTGGTCGAAGTCGTCATCACTGGACTCGATCAAATACTTGTTTCTGTAATCGTTGCCCTTAGAGTACTGGTTCTCCTTCTCTGGATCATCTTCACTGTCGCAGAGGGCCAGCTGGACCGGAGAGGCTGTTGGAGCCAGAGATCCAAAACTGCTTATAGCAGGATGACGAGTCTTGCCAATTGAGCTTATCAGCTGGAAATAACAAAGACAGACGGATTGGCGTTACCATTTAACACTGTACAACAATTCACCTCTGGCCGGAAGAGAACTCTCTGCTCCATAGCTTCTCTTGATAATTGGAATTAAACTCCCACTGTACATTTTACATTTATATTCAATTTAATATTGAATAATCAATTTCTTGACCAATAATATCTTGCATTATATTTGTTACTGGATATTTGTATTTCCACATTTATATTTTTCACATGTATATTTAAAAAAAACTTTTTAATGCTATTTTATTTCAGATATATTTTGGACTTTTTATTTCTAGTGTCTTAATTTCTCTTATGTACATTGCCTTTGTTTTTTATGCTGCTGCAAAGCAAACATTTCCCAAATTGGGATCAATAAAGTACCTATATATCGATCTATCTTAAGATGCACAACATAGGGCTGAAAAACGATTATTTGTATTATTGATGATGATCACTTGATTATTAGATTAATTTAAGAATCTGGAAACAACTAATACATGGCATTTTTGCTTAAAATGACTTTTTTGTGTACTGATCTTTCATTAAGTTAAATATCTTTTTGTTAACATTTTAAGATAAAGACAAACCTTTTTTTCTGCTGTGTCCAGTCCTCCCTCATCATCCCAGCCCATCTTTTTCGCAACTCTCTCAAACAATGTGCGAGTCTCATTATTCATCGTTTCCTCTGCTCTGTGAAAAAGGTACACATACCAACACGACATTTAACATTTAAAGTCCAGCCCTAACGCAAAACCTGTATGCTCACAATAGGCTATATGAGATGGTATAAATATAATACATGATTTTCATTGAACCAGCTACTTATTTTAGATAATGCGTTTACTGTTGCTAGAAACACTAGAGTGACCGTTAGCAACGTGCTAGCTAACATACTGTTTGGACTCACGATACATGTCTGAAAGTGGAGCAATATTTCCGTGTTTCCACTAAGTTAGCTTAAACCTCAGTAGAACATTTATTATAATGGTAATTCAAAATGGATTTTACATAAGATATGATTACCGAATTCGCTGCTGCTGTTGTAAATAAGAAGCAGAGTTGGCAGATGAAGCTAAGCGAAGGCAAATTCAAATTGTGTGCCATGAAAGACCGGAAGTAGTCAGCTCAGCAGCCGTTCAACCAATCGGAGCGCGCTTCATATGGCACGTGACATTCTGTACACAACCCACCATCTATCGCTTATCACATGAAAAAGATTTGTTTTATTTATTATTTCAAATACGAGGTACTTGTCCCACATATGGTCACAGTTTATACACTTTCAGTACTTCCATTTAATTCTATGTATATCTTGAAACAGAAATTCCAGAAACTCCTAAAATATTTGTAGTGTTTATTGTAATCTGTAAACTCTAAACTATTAGGTACTTCAACGTTTAATGAACAATACACATCCTAAGGAGCTCTGAATATTTAAAAACTGAGCAAAATTTGAACACTAGTGTTTTACTCATATCTTTGGTATTGTGGTTTGATAGATCTAGATAAGTAAAATATATCAAATAATGCTCCATCTGTAGCATTTTCTATTTCGCCAACATGGTTAAACATTTAAAAAAATTTCAGTTGAAGTTCCTTGAAAAACACTTGTTTAGGAACAGGTTTAATAACCAGAGCATATTAGACAACATGTCTTTAAATATACCAAAGAAAAGGGCAAAATGTTAATGAATTTGTAATTTAAGAATGCTGCCACTTGAGACACAGTAATCATATATTCAAGGAAAGGGTTATTTACTTTTCATTGTTTATTCCAATAAATACAACCAAGTGAGTACAACAGACAGTACAGAGTTTTGCCATCTCTTTATTTTTCGTATTATATTTAGAACCTCGCGGCATCATTGACAGCATACAGTAACGGACAATACAAAAACAAAAACCCCTTAGAAAATACTTACCTATGCCGTTCCTGGTTTGAGTTAAAAAAAAATATCAATTTGTGAACAACTGACATCTAAACTGACATTTAGGGCCTTTCCAATGAGTTGAAGCTCCTTTGACCATCTTTGTTCAATCTTCTTAAACATATTGTGACATCAAACAGAACAGCCACTGAACATATTCTTTGATTGATAAAATGAATAAAAGTTGGCATTTTGTGTGTGTGGGGGGGGGGTAAAGTGTCTGTCAAGACCATATTCCTTAAAAACTAGCACATATATTCAATGCAGTAATTTAATAACAGCTTTATACAAACTGAAGAGCAGTTGCAATCCAAGTTTTACAATTGCATGTTAAAGCTGATGAAACTTAAGTCAGAGTTACAATTTCCATGGGGCAACATTATCCTTTTAAAAACACACAACAATCTTAATCCATTTATAAATAGATCAACAAGTAATGACGGCTGGGCATTCTCTCCACAAGCTGCAGTTAGTCCTGTACTCACACCGACAGAACACAAATCCACTGATCCAACACAAATCCACTGATCCAAGGACTGGAGGGGTAGCAGGGCATTCACAATCCTCATGCTCATCAAATATACTGTGTTTTAGGACAAGAGTCTCAGAAGAGGTGCCTAAAAGTCTCAGGCTGCATCTGGCTCAGGAAATGCAGATGTGTGATGTAACAACGGATGTGATGGGGGAAAAATGTGTACATCTTTGGGCTCCTTTACAAAGAAGAGTCCCATTAAAAGTGAATGAGAGCGATGGAGACAATCATTGAGGGAGAGGGCAGGAGTGGACACTGACCATTCCAAACAAGGGTGCAGACGATGGTTTAAAAAAAAAAAACATGGAGGGCTGGACATGGTAAGGGTACAAGGAAAAATAAATCAGCATGCTTCCAGTTTAGGCATTCTCACTGGTCTCTACTGAATGGATTTTGACCAGGGCTTCTGGCTTTTTGCCATTGCTATGGTGCTCCCACATCTGCAGATAAAGCTTCTCCAGGTCCATTGTGTACTGCTTGGTGTTGAAAAGAGGGCTGCAGATTCGCTGCTTCCAGACACGAGCTCTGACCATCTTCAGACTGAAAGAGGAAACGATTACTTGTCAGTTTTCAGATTATTAAAAACAATGTTTTTTTTTTCAAAAGAACAGATTGAAATGCTACTTACTATTCCATGTCAGAGCCGAGTTTCACTGCTATGTCCTCATACTCCTGGCGACTGTGGGCTATGAGCTCAGGGCAGCCCAGGCAGCTGAGCTGTGAGGCAGCCACACGGGAGGCAAGCGTCTCACCTACACAAAGAAGGTTTACAATAAAAAATCAGCCTGCACTTAAAATGTGTTTTCCAATAAGCAGTTATTTGACTATAAGAAATGTCCACAATTCCTCTGCAAGTTGTTGCTGTAAAAGCTATAAAATGTCAGAAAATGGCAAAAAACATTGATACGTTTTTTAATAAAGGCCAAGATGATTTACATAATTTTTTGGGAAAATAGGAAATATTTAAATGTATTAAGCTAGAATCAAGTGTTTGACTTTTTTCTTAAAAAGGACTTCTTCAAAAATACAGGGCGATCAATTTAATAGCTGGCAAATATCAAAAAATCTTTGCAGGACTACTAGTTAAATATACAAAAAAGATTGTTCATATTCAATTATTCAATACATATTCAATTAACAGCCAATGGTTGCAGTCGTTTGAGGCCAATGGTGCCCTCTATTCCTCACCTGGCATGGTGACCATGGGTGTTCCAGCCCAGAGAACGTCCATGCCTGTGGTGTGACCGTTGCACAGAGGAGTGTCCAGGCACACATCAGCCAGCTGGCCCCTTCTCACATGTTCCTCTTTGGGGGCCACAGGAGAGAAGATGATGCGAGAGGCAGGCAGACCCATGTTCTGGGCGTACTGCTGGATGTTGGGCTCACCGACAGCAGGGAAGCGAAGAAGCCACAGCACACTGTTGCTCACACGCTTCAGGATCTGCAGGGAGTGAGGAGTTTAAAAGCAGATCTTAAACACTTCAAGATCTTTAAAAGGAACACTTTAAAGCAGTTGCTATAACCAAGTCTATCCAACTTACGTTAGCCCACATCTGGAGAGTAGGGGGATCGATCTTGTAGAGCTGGTTGAAGTTGCAGTAGACGATGGAGTCCTCTGGGAGACCATACTGTGAGCGGGTTGTCACAACGATTGTGCGCGGCACCTCCTCCCCAGTGGCAGCTTTGTTGTTGATCTAAAAAAGGGGAACAAAACGGTATTTTAGAGCATTGAGAGGCTTAAATGCTTTTATTGCAAAGAATTGTCAAGTGTGACTGTTTTTCAGCCACTTGGTAAAAGGCCTACTGATGACAATATGCTGTTTGGAAAGCCAATACAGTATCGTTCATTTCACAGCCAATTCACAATGCCACCATTTCCCTCACCAACTGTTCTGTACTTCCACCTCACTTTCATAAAGACATCATACCTTTAACCTGTTAAGCCCTGAGCCTGTTTTTCAGGTCTCAGGCTCGAAAATGACATTCCCAGAACAAATGACCATATCTTCCCTTCTAAAAGGGTTAAATTAATCATCTTTTTTCTCAAAGTAATGATAAACCTGTGAGTTGGATGTAGAAAAGTCAGAATCAATATAGATTTTTTTTATTTTAAAGTAAATTCAGATTGAACATAGTAAAAAAATGTAAATGATAAGTGTCCGTCCAAAAAATTACTTGTAGTGAAAACCACCCTTGAATGATGGGATAGTAGACTAAAAGCTTTAGGAATCCAAACTATAACATATAATAAGTACCCTGTATCAAGATTGATGCAAAACAAGTGACATTTGACCTTTTTAGAGAGGTTTAGCAAAAGAAACCCACTTCTGGGGTCATTTGGGTGCATTTTCCATATCTCTGCCCCCCTCGTTCGATTTTGATGATTGACACCTCTTTTTAACAGTTAGAGCCAATAGAATCGAGGGGAAGTTCCTCAACAGGTTAAGCAAACAGTCTCAGAGCTGTTGAAAAGATCTGGAAAGCGGGACGCTTAATTAAGTGGCTGCTCTTGCATTGCTTTAGTTTTTTTTATTGTTTTAAAACAATGCTATACCCCTCAAGATTTACATTAACACCAATGCGTTTTGACATACCTGTGTGGTGGCCAGGCCGTTGCTGACAGTGAATCCATTGATTGTGACCTGGATCTGGCCTTGGTTGATCATGTTGATGATAGCTTCAGCTGCTGTGTTCATGGGGATGACGGGCATGGACAGCTGTCCATTTATCTCCCCAGCAGGTTCCTGGTTGTTGTCACACTTCATCTGGAGAACATCAGCAGAACAGTTTCAACTGAAATCCTTGATGGCAAATCATTAAATAATGACATTTTTCACCACAAGGTTAATATTGGCATGTTTTTTTTTAACACAGAAAAACAACTTGGTTTTTCAGTTAATTCTCTTCACTCACCTTTATCACCTTCACATCTGGCAGACTGTCCAAGTAGGCCTTCAGATCAATACCATTGAGAACAATGCGGTTGTCAAAGATGTGGCCGTTAGATTTAAAATCAATCACAGCCTTTTTCTGTGAGTAGAAAAAAGAAAACAGATGTTAAAAGCACCCTGTTTCCTGACACATTGATCACTGAAGTAAGAAGCAGAAACGTGAGGATGGACAAACCTTGAGGTGAGGGAACATGTTGGCGTGGTCCCCGATGAAGAAGGTATGTGGCATGTAGGCCAGTTTCTCAGAGTACTGCTCAGCCACCTCCAAGGGTGACGTCTCCTTGTCAGAGATGATGTAGTCCATGAAGGGTGCCCCACTGGTTCCAGGATAACCCAGCCACATAGTCTTAAAAGATCAGAATAAAATGACGATGAAGATGCCGTTTTTTTACCTTCAAATACAACTCCAAGTCATCAGAAATCATATTGTGCTCACCTGAATAGGGGCAGGGCGGAGGGCAAACAGCTCATTTCGGGCTCCCTTGGTGTATCCGTTCATGTTGACCAGAATGTGGACTCCATCCTGGTGAATTCGATCAGCTGCCTTGCCATTGCAAGGAATCTGCAGGAAAGAGGCAACAGTTTCAGGGAAATTGGTTTGACTTTGTCATCACATGAGAATATTTCTTGAGCAAAAATAAAATAAATAATCACATTGTTCATGTTAAAAGAGGCCTCTATAGATTATAGAATTACCTGTGAGAGGTCTGTGAAATGATGAGCCTCTGCTACCACTTTCACACGGAAGTTGGTGCTGTCATCGGGGCTGAGCCCATAGCAGAACACCTTGAGGGGAAATTAAAAAAGCAAGTTAACATCAACATAAAAAACTATCAGTCAACCCTGGTAACCCCTGTTGGTAAGTCCGTACATTGAAAATAAACCAATAGAGAATAGTAGGGATGCTCCGATCGATCGGCCGCCGATCGATATCGGCCGATATTCACTCTCTGCCGATCGATCGGTGCTCTCCATAAAGGCCGATCGGGAGAGCCGATCACATGACATAAAATACATGACACTTTTCTCTGTGGGCGGCAAAACAAGCTCGCCAAAATGGCTTCACCAGTATGGCAGTATTTTAAGGTGTCCGAAAATGACAATAAAATAGCGGTATGCAACGTGTGAAGCAGAAATCCTGCAGCTCCCCCCGCTGTGAGCGGAGCGAAACACACACTAAGAGTTAGACCTAACACACTTAGCTATTTTATCTACCTCTGGAACAAGCTAAACTAGTTATAAATATATGTATTCTTCACTGTCGGGTCACTCATTACTGGATCAGTGAGCTGCATGAGATACTGACGGGCTGTCAGGAGAGAGGAAAAGAGAGCGCTTCCGCTCATTTCTCCCGTGTTATTATCCAAAGTTAATGTAAACTTGAATAATGTACATCATTTGAATGTAATAATTATGTTGGTTGTTGTTTGTGGAAGCGCCAGTGAATGAGCCCCATTAACTGAGTTTTAAACATCACTTTAAATGGAAGAACCTCATAGCCCCCACCCACTCGATCGGATCGGCCGATACTGATTCCGGCGATCGGCCCCAAAATTGGCGATCGGAGCATCCCTAGAGAATAGTATAGCCAACTCTTGTACTATAAATCATAGATATTGCACAATTATTTTCTACTTTTTTGGTAACAATTAGATGGTGCAGAGTTAATTTCTTGATAAGATCAAAGGAATTGGCAGGAAGTTGGTTATTCAAAGTAGGAAACGTTTATTTTGACAACTGGTTAATTTGCAGTTGTCGAACAAGGTAAATTGAAATATATATTATTGCAATCCTCACCATATCTCAAAATGTTAAAAACTTTAATAATATTGTACAGTTTCTAAAGTATCTTGATGATATTGTATTGTGGGGCCTCTGGTGATTCTTAAGACATTACATTGGAATATGCAATTTAATGGTCAGGTTTGTAATTTCTTGAAATAAACAAGGTTCACCAACCTCAAATTTATCAGGGTTGTGCATGCCAGGGATGGACTGCATCAGATGGGAAGTGGGGTGGTTGCCAAAGTCAGAGCTGACGTATCCCACACGCAGACGCCCGCCGCTGGTCTTCAGATCCTTCGGATGCTCAAAAGCAGGTTTGTGCAGAGCGTTGATCTGTGGAATTAGCAATAGTGTAAGAATACACCCTCAGCAGGATAGCCAATTGTAGTTTGACTGAGCTGCACCGAATGTAGCAATGGTGGACTTAGGCTGAACCACATATTCATCCAAAATCGAACCAACTTAATAACCCCGGCAAGCCACCCATTCTATAACACCTTTTTCTACAAATACATCCAGTAACTTGCCCATCCATCCCTTACCTTCCCCATATCCCTGCAGACAGCCACTGCCATCACCAGCCACCTTCCACCCCACCCCCCCCCCAAAAAAGAATTAAAGTTTACTTGCTTTGATCAGTGCGTGTACCTTGTCCAGGCAAAGGTTTCCGTGGCGTTCAGCGATGGCCTTGCGGAAGCCGTGAGAGAGTGGGTACAGCATGCTGTGGTGGGGGTGCACTGACGGCAAGCGGTTCTTATCCAGCTGGTCGGCCACGATGCTAACGAGCTTCTTCATACGCTCGTCGTAGTCCGTCCAGTCACACACAATCTGGGAGAGTGACAGGAGGAAGAGAAGTTAGAAAATGAGCTTCTAATTCAACATTGGCTTGTGTTTTATATATTTGAAGAAGCTGTTGGCATATACCAACCTGCAGGCAATGTGCCAAGTTGCAGTATGCATCAGGGAAGTCCGGCTTCAGTTTCAACGCTGTGCGGTAAGATGAAATGGCCTCTGGGATGTTTCCAGAATCCTAGTCAGGAGAAATAAATATAAGATCAAAATGCAAAGTTCCAAAACCAAAAACGGCAATCCGTTATACCACATACACAAACGGCTGGTAATACAGTATATTCATGTATATCAATTGAATGTTGTATGAAGACAGTAATAATGATTTCTCCCTTCCCTAACCAGAGACTAATTTTCATCCACTTAAAACAGGATATAATAAATAAAGTACAATCCCAGGGTATATGCAGGAATCCTGAAGTCACATTTAATACCTTTTAAGACCTTTTTTAAGACCTCATCGCCACTTCGAGTTTTAACCGGTTACATTGGCGACACACTTTACCTCACATTTACTACATTATTGATTGTCCTTCCTCCTTATCTTCCAACCATTTGGACGCAAACTTGCATTTCCCCATAACGATGTTTAACAACCGGCGTAAACGGACCTTCGCGCTATCAAGCAGTGAGCGAGCGATGTCCTGTTCAGATGACGTCAAATCCAACGGGATGCCATAAATAGACTACACAGAATCACACTACACGCCTACGCAATGATTACATTCAGGCAAACTGTAAAATACAACCTCTTTGGACAATTTATATACTTATTGAAAACAAGCTACAAAATGTAATACCTTGGAAAATGCCGTTTAATACTTTTTAATAGCCTTAATTTTCGCTAAATTGATTTATCAACTTTTAATACTTTTTAAGACCCTGCAGACACCCTGAATCCTGCATATATAAATGTAACAAGCATTGAACCATTCATTTGTACACTGTTTTAGACTAATTCCAACTGTTGGAACAGAAAAGTACAAATAAAAACATTAGCATTATTGAGAGAAAACGATTGAAATGACATTGCTGATGGATCTTTTGGGTCAACATAGAGGCCCTAAAGCGATGTGACACAATTCTAAACAATCAATCATCATAAATGAAAACGGTAAGGAGTTAAAGTCATTCCTACCTTGTGAATAGAGGCCAAGTTACTGTGAGCATCAGCGAAGGCCGGGTTGATCTGGATGGCCCGGGTGTAGCATTGCAGCGCTCCCTGGACATCCTGCATCTCCTTCAGTGTATTGCCCATGTTTGAGTAGGCATCAGCAAATGTGGGGCTGATCCTAAAACCAAACAAATAATTGCATTTAACACTTGTATAAACAACTCCATCATGTCTAATGTTGATTTAGGACCATTTACTTTTGAAAAGACAATTATAGATGTACAAACCTGATGGCCTCCTTGTAGTGCATGAGGGCCTCCTGGAGTTTGCCCTGCTGCTGCAGGACACTGGCAAGGTTAGAGTGAGCTGCTGCAAACTCTGGGAACACCTGATGAAAAAGCAAAAACGGTTACCAAAAGGCAAGAGCAGCCATGATTAGGGATGGGTACCGAGCCCCGGTATTAAACGGGCCCCGGGGCTGAATTATTAAAGACCGTGGTACCGTTAAGCTCCAACGTTATCGGCCTTTTTATCGGTACTGGAGACATGTAAAAATATATGTCATGTATTATTGCTACACAAACATTATATTGCAGTTTTAGTGTCGCAAACTCCGTTTCTAATATGTAAATATACTGTAAAATGCGTCTATGATTAGTTTTAGTATTTTCGATCTTTCCAATCCAGACGAGAGATCTCTCTCCCCCGCCTGCTTGCGAGGGGGCGGGGCAGCTCCCTTACACACACGCAGCTGCTACATGCAGCAACACACACACACACGGAGGAGATGGCGGAGAGAACACGCTCCGAGGTGTGGTTAAATGTTACGCCTCTCGATGTGGACAATGCTCGTTGCCAAAAGTGCAATAAGAGTTTAGCATGCAAGGGCGGTAACACGAGCAATTTGTCGAAACATTTAGCAAAAGTGCACCACATCCAGACGGAGAAATGCACCGGGTTCGACTGTCTTTCTGGTAGCTCTGTAGCCCCATCCACAAGTAACTTTTCCACGTCAGGTATTATGTATGCTAGCAGCAACACACGGAGTTAACTCAATTATACAAACATGGGTTAATGATTAGGTAACTGAGTTATTTATTTTGTTAGTTTCAGCTATTCTGTTTACAATTCTGTCATCAGATTTTTTTTAATACGATTTGTTACAACATTGTTGTTTCTTTTGATGTGAAATTGTATTTAATTTAAATAAAAAGCAATGTTAGTTTTGTTCACAATTTGTTTAGTTAGTTTACCTTCTTTTTTTCTCCAAAAGAACCGATAAGAGTACCGTTAAAAGACCGGACCGATAAGCGGTATCGATAAAAGTAGTAGTACCGTTAACCTTAACGATAGCCATGATGGTCTTGTTGAACCTTTTACACCAGAGGAGTTAACTGTTAACTTACCTCTAGTGCTTTTCTATAGAGCTGAACTGCATCCTCAATGTTGCCCTGCTCACGCTTGATATTGGCCAAGTTGTTAAGAGAGTCTGCATGGGTTGGACACAAACGCAAGGCTGTGTTGTAGCACTCTTCTGCTTCAGACACCTGGAAACACATTGGCATTGTAAAAGTTAAATGCATTTCACTTTCATTTTATTACAACTTTTCTAAATCTCGATATTTCAGATTGTGTTGACAGTGGAAACACAAAGCGCTCTCTTACATTGCCTTTCTCCTTCAGGGCATTTGCCAAATTGCAGTAGGCATCGGGGAAGTGGGGCTGAAGTTCAATAGCACGACGGTAAGTGTCAATAGCCAGGTCAATGAGGCCTTGCTCGTAGTAGACACAGGCCAGGTTACCATGCACTACTGCATGGTTGGGGCTGAGACTCAGGGCTCTCAGGTAACCAGCCACAGCTCTGGAAACACAATATGCAGATACAAGTTAAGCTAAAGATCACTCTTTTGCTGGAATTAGAAATTCCAAAATTAGAAGTTATAATGTCTTTTAATAACTTCTTATAAAACTTCTTACAAAGCTGAATTGTTTATAGGTGTTCACACATTTAAACAACGTTGGAATTATTGGAGCACATTGTTAAATGTATTGCTGTATAAAACAACAACAACATGATGGCAGCTCTGCCTCAAGTACCGTTTGCTAAACATAGGATCACGGACAAAGAGGTAATGGAGCTGACATAGTTCTTCAATCATAGTTCTTCAATGATTTTAAGTTCCACACAGGGTATCATACCATCTACTATGTTAAGATTTTTATTTTTAGACTCACCTGTCAAAGATGCGGGCTTCCTTCAAAACGTTTCCTAAATTGATGTACGCATCAAGGAAATTTGGGTCCAGAGTCACTGCCTAAAATAAAAAGCAATCTTAGAAACATGGGACAACACAGAAATATACAAAGACAGAAGGTAGGATTGAATAATGATACAAAATGTTATGATATTGACCTTTTCAAAATGATGTATGGCCAGCCATATCTCTCCTTGAGCATTGAACACACAGCCCAGGTTGCTCCAAGCCACTGCAAAGTTGGGCTGAGTCTCAATAGCTTTCAGGTAACATGCCTTCATTGGAATAATAATGAAAAAACCATAGGACAGGAGGAGAAGAGGTAGAAGGGGAGAGGTATAGAGCGTAGAGGGGAGGACAAGGGATTGTAAAATAAAAAACGAATAGAAGATTGAGAATAAAAGTAAGAAAAAACAAAAAGGGCAGAGAAAGCAAAATTAGTGACCATTCTCCATCATGGCAAAAAGTGAGTCTGCAGCATGGGCTCGCTTGCGCTGAAATCTGCTGCGCTAAGCTGCATTGCTTTTTCCTACGCTGCGCGGATCCAACCAACACCCACACGTATGCCCGCATACTTCAGTTATGGCCACATACTAAGCAGATGTAGTAGCCCCCCACATCATTTTGCTGTCCCCCTAATACAATCGAGGCTGGTTAGTTATAACCCATAGCGATAAATATCAAAATGATCTGCATAAATGTTGCATATTTCATGTGGGCATGATATCTTACAACCTGGGATGCTGGACAGTTCGTGCGAGTGATGGTTCCTGTAATGCGAGCGCAACAAACGCGAGCGCGTGGTGTGTGTCTATTGCCACCGCCACCACAATGCACCATATAAAGCCGTTTGCGTGACCTTGCATGGTCATTTCGCTGCCGCACTAGCTGATGACCAGCTACAGACCAACAACCCCTTGCAGAACACCTGACCAGACTGGCACACACTCAGCACCCATAGAGCATCTCAGAATGAAAAGGGGGGGGGGGGGGGCAACCAATGGCTGAAGCAGGGGAGCAATTTGAAGTCATTTTTGATTGAATTAAGTAAAAACGTTTTGTTTTTTTAAAGCCAAAAATGTCTGAGATTTAGGGGCATTCGGGAGCGAGGCTGGTTTGGAGTGGGGAGAGGTCCGCAACCAACAGGCCAAAGGGAGTAGGGGTTTTTGGGTCGCAGGCTTGCGCTTTCCGCCTTTTTGTGGCTTGGAGGATATCGCTGCGCTGCCCCTGCGCTACTGCAGACTCACAGCGCACTATCTGCATCATCAGAACGCTGCAACTCCAAATAAAGAAGGAAAAAACAAAACAAAATAGGAAAAATAAACAACATGTAAGAGTTAGAGGGTTCTTACTTGTTTTTCACGATTATTGCTTCCACAGCCTAGTTTCTTTTTAAGTAATACAGAGCTGGGTAATTAGTATAGCATATTGTAAGAAATGCTTACTGTAATTTGTTTTGCTACATCTTTCTTTTGCTCTTCAAAGGAAGCCACAAGACAGAGGAGCATGAAGTGAGGTGGTTTTTTTCTTTTGTTGTCAGTTACAAACCCGTTACCATATTTTTGGACTTTGTCAGAGTGGTGGCCGCAGCTGGCTGGAAGAAGAGGAGGACTGAGGCTGCCCTAGTGTTCCTTTCCGCCAGGCACCTACGCAGGAATAGTGTCACCCACCTGAAACCTTCTAAATAACAATATCAGTTGTGGAAAAACCAAAAGAGACAAAATCAGAAAACAGGATCGTTAGTAAGAGTCTTTAAACAATACATATTTTTTTTTGTATATGGAAACAAAACATGTTTGTTCTTCGAAATCACAACAAACCTAAAACAGCCTATACTTTGTTTTCATTCATGCAATGACTGTTTCATTTCAAAGAAGAAAAAAAAAATGCTTGGGGTAACGGGGAGGGAAGAAAGGCTTTTATATGTCCAGTTTATCAGTACAATTTAGGTCAGGTCAGATTTCCAGCTGTCCATCAATTTGGCTTTCACATTAAACTACAGGAGGGCAGTTACTGGCTTGATCTTGCCCAAATGAACTGATCCCATTTATTTGGGAATAATATAACATATTTGAAGCAAAAGGGAAGAAGTATTAATCATCGTCTCTCGTTCTTTTTGCATTTTCATGAAATATTTGCAAATCTTTGTCCTGGCCTGCTTTCTTGAATCCTGGCCAATGGGGGGAAAAGGTCTGTGGTGTAATTATTGGAATCTAGAAGCCTCCAAAGCTCTGAAATAAAGAAGTCATCGCTGTTGCTGCGCGTTCCTGTCTTTCTAAACCAGCATCTGACGCAGGTGGTGGAGTGCAGATATTGAGCTGTCTGCCTGACAACACTTAAACCATTTTAAGGCACTTGAGATTTGAGCCCCGCACAATTTACCACACTATTCAACAGCAGTGGATATCAGAAGAGATAGCCAGATGAGTACAATTGTCATTATTTTCATAGTCAAAAGGAGAATTAATGCATGTGTGCTTGAGCACTGACTGGGCATGGCTAAATGGTCAGGAAGGCAACTCTCAGCGCGCACACTCCACCAATCCTTAGCAAGCGCGCGGGGGGGTGGAGCGACAGAGCAGGGGAGCTTGTAACTCCCTTATGCTCCTCCCCACTCCTTAACCCCCCTCTAGCACGAAATAAGATGGCCTGTAACCACTGAGACAACTCCATATCCCCACATCCCACCCACCCTGGGAGCCCTTTTATATAAGCAGAAGTCTTATATACGAGAGGGGAAGTGTAACACTGGGGGAAAAACCCACACTGCCAGTAACTTTACTGACAGCAAACTGAGAAAAAGCTTGACATTGGAGTGTAGTGGTTAGGGTGGAACCATCTTATCTTTTGCATTGCATTGATAAACTAGCTTCTCATCAGTTCATATATTCTTCAAAGACCGAGCCAGCATTTTCCCTCCAAAATCTATATGAAAATGCATGGGCTGAGGTTAAAAAAATGACAAAATAGATCAAATTATTCATACTTTAGAAAACCAGCCTTTCTTCCTGAAAGGGGAGGGGCTGACCTCTGGTAAAAGGTCGGGGTAAAGTATAAGACATCAGGACTAAGAGTGATATATGGTAGGGACAAAAGTCATAATATAATATAAAAAAAAGTAGATGAAGCTGCCTAAAAAGTCATCAACAGAAAATGTGTGTAAAAACTACAGGAATAAACGGTTGCCTCCTACAGGTCTTTCCTAACTGTCCAATACCTTTAGAGGTTTTTAGTAAGTTAGGTGTGAGAAGCTTACTGCCAATGCTACCATGTCCTGTTCTTCACTAGACAGAGGGGGAAGAGGAAGGACTGGATTTGGCTTTAAAAAAGTGAACTGGAATAATATCTATGGCCATATTAAAAAAGGGACCTTTAAAAAGAAAAAGAAAATACAAACAACACTTATGTACAAATGCCAACGCGCTGTAACATACCTTTGCCTCTTCCAAACGCCCAAGGGCTTTAAGCAAGTTGCCCAAGTCACTGCGCACACAATAAAGATCCTGAAAAAAAGAAGAAAACATTAAAATCTTCTGCTACAAAAACGGCAGATACATTTTTTGCCAAAAAAAGAGCAACTTAGCACGCCGTGAAAATCTTGTCTTTCCTCAAGTGGTTTAACTTTTCACTTTGCTGCAGTATAATACAGATGTGCTCCAGGACTTTGTGACAACTCTTGTGAATTGACATTACGAGCCACACCAAACAATGTTAAGCAGTGATAGGTGTTGTCAGAAGAGAAACAGACTATTTTTCAGCAGTGTTAGGTTACCCTTTAATGACTGCATCGAGTGGTCTGTCACTTACAGGGTTGTACTGTAGAGCGGACACATAAGCCTGCACTGCTCCCTCCATGTCCCCTGCGGCCACCAGAGCTGCTGCCAAGTTGATGTATCCATCAATAAAATCTGGTTTCAGTCTGAGAGCATGGCGATAATGCTCTATGGCCTCCTGCAGCTGACCACGCTCCTTGTACACGTTCCCCAGGTTGGAGTAGGCCTCGGCCAACATTGGATTCTGTTTGATGGCCAAGGTGCTGAAATGAGCAGACCTGTAGGGCAAAAATGGATGAAGAACGGTCACATTCCTGAGGGCAGTTGCTGGCAGTGTTGGCCCAATGCCTTGTGCAGAGGCAGCAGCGAAGTGGAAGGAGGTGAAAGGAGAAACTTGTTTTCCGGCAAAATAAATGAACAGCATATCAAGAATAATATCCCTAAAATATTGAAAACATTAGTACATGACACACATTTCATTAATTTCCATTCAATACTTTATTTGTGTGTGGATTATACTCCAAATAAAGATAAGTGGTGCCTATTGCATGCATTAGTAACTAATGTTGCATATATATTTTATTAAACAATGAAAGATCACTCAACAAACTGTCATCCTTTGCTAAAGTATTCATTTCAGAGTTATCTGCAGTTGCTTCCGATTCATTTTAGTGCATTTTTCACTGTAGTATGCCCACAACATTGAAATCACTTTGGAGTATACTGCTGGCGTTGTGCGAATTGAAAGGCTAGAAAAGTGATTAAACATTTAAAACCTGTAAATCTCAAGACCCGAAACCTTCACCGTGGCACCTGCAAAGTAAGGGTAGGGCCACCACCGAAACAGTGTTAGAATCATGAGGGGAAAGAGTGAGCTTTATACAGAGCAACAGCATTTCCAGAAGGCTGCTCAGTTGTAGCATTTGACTCGCTAGGAGAGCTGTGTGCACTGAAAGTGAGAGAGGAGCCATTATTCTCGGCCACCTTCCCGCCACATGGTCTGTGTGCGTTGAATCAGCCCCCCCACACCTCACCTGTCGAGTCTTCGGCATTGGAAGTGGATGGAGGACAGGAGCAGAAGCACGCCTGTGTTATCAGGCTCCTGTCTCCAGAGCTGCATGCAGTGGCGCTCGGCTGCCTCAAAGTCCCCTGACTGATACTCCCGGTGCGCCAGCTCAGCCAACCCTTGGAAGGAAAGAATACGTTTTGTCGGTTCTGGAGCACCAACACATCCCAAGGAGGGGGGAAAACAACATGTTAGACATGATGGAGGAAATTAAATCGGACAAATGAAAACTACAAATAAAGAATTTGAAGCTTATGCTGTCAAAGGAAAAATATGGCTATACATTTAGGGGGACTAAAAGGTAGTACTGAGATCATGTTTTGCAATCATGACATATTATAGGGAATTTTACATTCCGGTTTCAATTCTTGGGGTTGTTATTATATATTTTTTTTTAATAAAGTCAGTTACAGTATAACTGTTTTATTATATATATATGAAAATATGTAAGGTTGTCCTAGAACTGCATAGCTCGCATATTATGCAGAAGACAATATGAATGCGTGTCCATTTAAGAAAACATAAATGCATCCTCTCACACACACTGTACTGTGTTTAAATGTGTAAACATTTGAGTTTGTGAATCGCTTCAAACTAGTACACTTATTTCTCTAACCAATTTGTTTTACTGATAAGAAAGAAAGGGCTTCCACCCATAAAAAAGAAAAACGTATTACAATTTCTATAAAAAAAATAAGTGAATGAGGTGAAAAAATAAAAACAAACAGGGAGGGGAATGATACACTGACGTAAATTCAGAAGATATTAACACCATGGATTTAACATTTCATAAGATTAATCAAAACATGATTGTACAGCTGTCAAGTCACGTTTCAATTCCATAAGGCCCTAAAATAGCAGAAATCTGGGGTTGTAAATATGGACATATTTTGTATTACGTATGCATTCATCTTTCCCTCATTCTCTTGTATATGGTTTGCATTTTTAAAACGTGTTGAGCTTATCTTTTTCCTTAAAGTGGACCTATCATGCTATATTTAAATTATATATTGTAGGGCCATACCTATATAAGGTATATTTATACGTTTCTGTTGTCAAAATACCAAACAGATCATGCATTTTAGCCATGCCTCATTTCGCTCTATTTGCTGTTCTCCAGCCCTGTTTTTGCAGGGGGCTGATTCTGTGAGCTGCAGCTGACCACGCCCCCCTGCAGGAGAGAGGAGCCGCTCTGATCAAGTCAGAAGAGGGGGAGAAAAATAGATCTCCATCCTCCGTGTTTTATTATAGCCTATTATTATTATATAGAGTCGTTATTCATTTGTTTTAAAGCTCAATAAATAACAAAGAAGACCTTTGACCGGCACTTTTCTAATTTTGTCCGGAAGATTTAAACTTTAACGGACATCTTGACCGGCGAAAGAAACTGAAACTGAAACTCTGCCGCACGGTCCCCTCGTTCCTTGGAAGAGGCGGAGAGGTGGGTTTTTGTCATCTGCTGGTGGACTAACCGGAGAGAATTACAGTGCTTGCCTCGACAGGGAGGGATTGCATTGAATTAAAGCAGCAGGAGCAAACGCTTGCCTCGGGGAGGGAGAAAAAAAGCCACAGCAGAGAATAAACAGAAGGGTAACCATGGTAACCATGCGCGGGAAGTCTTCTTCGCTGCTTTTGTGACAGACTACAGCGCCACTTACAGGCCTGGCATATGTACTACAGCGTCTCCAGCACTTTCGAGCGGCATGGCCGGCCGTGGCCCAAACCCACATTCCCCTGATAGGTGGAGAGTTGGCCCAATAGCCGTAGCGCCACCGTCCTGACGTCAGGACAGTGTTCAAATCTGGATCAGTTTTTATCAGATCCGTTGCAGCCCCTTTTTTAGAGATTTGGGTATGGAGGAAAATAGAGAGGGTTGTGTTTTCTGACAATTGGTGAGTTCCCTGGAACACAGGGGACACATATTCATGTATAAAAGACGTACAAAAGTGCATTTTGCATGATAGGTCCCCTTTAAAAATATCTATCAAAAAGCAGTGTGCCATAACAGGTGAAACTGTCAGATGGACCTACAGTGCCATTCGAGGTAAATGTGTGCAGGGTGTGGCTTAAACCACATCCTGTATGTTTCGCAGTGTACAGAAGGGTGGAGGAGTCTAATGGGTCAGATATGCCAACTGGTGTACAGTGGATACACACGCCTGCAATCTGAGGCTATAATGGCAGAGCATTAAAGATCGCAGGAACGTTAGATCAGGCTCATCCATCTATTACGTCATAATACTTGTATGCAAGAAGGACGGATAGTTTATTTTACATAACGAATCCAGTCATAATGCAACAATCAAGTCAGCGTTTTGTGGTAAAGAACCACAAGCAGATACAAGACACATTGTATTGGTAACCTTTACGATTATTATAAGGCAAAAGGAGTCATTAACCTTGGGCATTTGCGCCAAGCAGTGATGTCTGCACAGCCAGTAGAACAGCAGGAAGCGGCACGACCCTCATTATAACAGTGGTCATGCCGCTAATGTAGTTTTTACAGATATAAAAACCAACGGTGGTTACGTATTAACAATGGTAACCATTTTCATCCAGTCACTCAGTAGGAAACAAAATACGACAGCAACTTGCTGTCATGGGGGGTAGCAAACATGCTAAGCTAACTTAGCCACACCGTTGTGCAAAACCGTTTACGACAACGTTATTGAATATATACCTGCGAATCGTTGGCAAAAATGATACAACGTTTATACACATGACAGTAGTTGTCAAATCGACACTCGTAACACAACTATTGGAGTTTTCTTTGGTAGAACCTGATGCTAGTTAGCTATCGTTGTGCTAACATACCTTACCAAGTAGCACGACCCTGAAGTCGTTATTTGTCATTAAAGGGCATGAACTGGGCCTTATTTTCAATTGTCATAATGTTCACTAATGTGGCGCAAAGGTATGTAATGGTGAAAGTATATTACATTGCTATATTATTTGTTTTAAATGTTAGCTGCATACGAGCCGCTCGATCGATGGGAGCTAACGTTGTAACACGAGATATCGTTTTCACAGCTTGCTACATTAACGTGAGCTAACTAAAAATCAACCAACCTGTGCTGTCGGCCACGTTTCCCACTGAGGTCGCCATCTCCTCGGTCTTCGTGTCCTGCACGGTGGTCGTCAACGTGGCTCCTGGTAGATTACAGTTTCAGGTAAAAATGTGCGACGAGCAGTCGTCTTTTGTCGGCTTCGACAAGCTAACACGTTGCCAGGCAAGCTAAGAAGCTAACTTAATCTCTGATATTCCTTACAAGTGTTCAGTCAAGATCCTTCATGGACAGAGTAGTTACACTTGGTGATAACTAATCTCGCTACAATCCCTAACATATATATTTTTAACGGGCATTAAAATTATGTTGCTATGGCTCAAGCAGGCATCTCTTCACAACAAAGCTGCTATGGAACATAAAATG